CATTTTTATTCTTTAGTCTTTCAGTATTATTTTTTTCTGGTTACTTTCTTATTTTTTCAATTAAAAAATCTTTTAAAATTATTTATATAATAAATAAAATTATTTATATAATTATAAAATTATGTAATTTTAAAAGAAATTTTGAAGTTTCTTTGTATATTTGTATCTTTCCATTGTATTTTACTTTGTATATATAAACATATATGTATATAATATTTATATATGTTATTCTTTCTTTCTTATTTTGGGATCTAGTTTCTTTTAACAAGCAAAGACACACCGAGGATCTCATTTTGTTTGTTTTGTCTTTTTTTTTCTGTTGTTATTGTTTTCTTTCTTCTTTCTTCTTTTCTGGACAAACGAAGTGGAGAAATTCACCCCAAAAGAAAGAACAGGGGCAGCCCCAGTGGCGCAGCGGTTTAGCATCCCCTGCAGCCCAGGGCATGATCCTGGAGATCCTGGATGGAGTCTCATGTTAGGCTCTCTGTATGATGCCTGCTTCTCCCTCTGCCTGTGTCTCTGCCTCTCTCTCTCTCTCTCTCTCTCTCTCTGTGTCTTTAAAACAACGACAATAACAACAACAAAAACCTGAAAGAACAGGAGGGTAGGACTCACTACCAGGGATTTAATCAAGACATAAGTAAGATGTCTGAACTAGAATTTAATACAATGATTCTAAAGATATGAGCTGGGCTTGAAAAAGCATAGAAGGGGATCCCTGGGTGGCGCAGCGGTTTGGCGCCTGCCTTTGGCCCAGGGCGCGATCCTGGAGACCCAGGATCGAATCCCACGTCGGGCTCCCGGTGCATGGAGCCTGCTTCTCCCTCCCTGCCTGTGTTTCTGCCTCTCTCTCTCTCTCTCTCTCACTGTGTGCCTATCATAAATAAATAAAATAAAAAAAATTTAAAAAAAAAAAAAAAAAAAAGAAAAAGCATAGAAGACACTATGGAATCCCTTGCTGTAGAAATAAAAGAACTAAAATCTAGTCAGGCCAAAATTAAACATGCTATTACCAAGATACAGTCCCAAGGGGAGGCTATAAAATGAGAATGAATGAAGCAGAAGGAAGAATCAATGATACAGAAGATAAAATTATGGAAAGTAAGGAAACTAAAAAGAAGAGAGAAGAAACATACTGTTAGATCACGAAGGGAAACTTCCCACGAAGGGAAATTCCAGAAGGCAAATATCTGCATAATAGGAATCCCAGAAGATGAGGAGAGGAGAGAGGGGCAGAAGGTTTATTTGAACAAATTATAGCTGAGAACTTCCATAATCCGGGGGAGGAAACAGGCAATCAAGTCCAGGAGGCACAGAGAACTTCCCTCAAAATCAACAGAAATATGTCAACACCCTGACATATAATAGTGCAGTTTGCAAATTCAAAGATAAAGAGAAAATCCTGAAGCAGCTGGGGACAAGAGGTCCTTAACCTACAAGGGCAGACACATAAGGCTGGCAGTGGACCTGTCCACAGACACCTGGCAGGCAGAAAGGACCAGTGTGATACATTCAAGGTGCTAAATGAGAAAAACATGCAGCCAAGAATACTGTATCCAGGAAGGCTGTCATTCAGAATAGAAGAGGTAAAGAGTTTCTAGGACAAACAAAAACTAAAGGAATCTGTGGACACTAAACTAGCCCTGTTAAGGAATATTAAAGGGGATCCCTTGGGTGGAGAGAGCCCCAAAATAACAAAGACCAGTAAGGAACAGAGACAGTCTACAGGAACGGTGACTTAACAGGTAATCCAATAAATTAATATCTTTCACTAATTAATCTGAAGGTAAATGGACTAAATACTCCAAGAGACAATACTAGAATGGATTAAAAAATTAAGACTCATCAATATGCTTACAAGAGACTCATTTTTTTAATATTTTATTTATTCATGAGAGACACACAGAGAGAGGCAGAGACCCAGGCAGAGGGAGAAGCAGGCTCCCTGTGGGGAGCCCATGCAGGTCTCGATTCCAGGACCCCAGGGTCATGCCCTGAGCAGAAGGCAGACACTCAACCACTGAGCCACCCAGGTGCCCCAAGAGACTTATTTTAGACCCAAGACACCTCCAGATTGAAAGTGAGGGGGTGGAGAACCATTTATTATCATGCTCATGGACATCAAAAGAAAGACGGGGTAGCAATCCTCATGTCACACAAACTAGATTTTAAACCAAAGATTGTAATAAGGGATGAAGGACACTATACCATAGTAAAGGGGTCTATCCAAGAAGAAGATCTAGAAATTGTAAATATTTATGCTCCTAACTTGGGAGCAGCCAAATATATAAACCAATTAACAACAAAATTAAAGAAACTCATTGGTAATAGTACAATAATACTAGAGGACTACAACACCCCACTCACAGAAATGGACAGATTGAGCAGATCAACAAGGAAACAAGGGCTTTGAATGACACACTGGACCAGATGGACTTCACAGAGATGTTGACAGCATTCTCTCCTAAAGCAACAGAATACATTCTTCTCAGGTCCACATGGAACATTCTCCAGGAGAGATCACATACTGGGTCACAAATCAGGTCTCAACCGGTACCAAGTTTGGAATTATTTCCTGAATATTTTCAGAGCACAATGTCATAGGACTTGAATTCAACCACAAGACAAAAATTGGAAGGACCACAAATACATGCAGGTTAAAGAACATTGTACTGGAGAATGAACGAGTCAACCAGGAAATTAAAGGAGAATTGAAAAAATACATGGGGCAAATAAAAATGAAAACATGAGAGTTCAAAACCTTTGGGATGCAGCAAATGTGGTCCTATGAGGGAAGTATACAGCAATACAGACCTTCCTCAAGAAAACAAAAAAGTCTCAAATACACGACCTAACCTTACACGTAGAAACTGAAAAAAGAATAGCAAATAAAGCCTGAACCCAGCAGGAGAAGATAAATAATATCAGAGAGAGTGACAAACCATGAGAGACTACTAACTCTGGGAAACGAACAAGGGATAGTGGAAGGGGAGGTGGGGTGACGGGCACTGAGGGGGGCACTTGAGGGGATGAGCACTGGGTGTTATACTGTATGTTCGCAAATGGAACTCCAATAAAAAATATATTTTAAAAAGATTAGGGCAGAAATCAATGATAGGGTTGGGGGTAAAAAGAGATTTTTGATGACTGATTCAATATCCTTGCTGGTTATGGGTCTGTTCAGGTTTTCTCTTTTTCTTCCTGTTTCAGTTTGGGTAGTTTACGTGTTTCTAGCAATGCATCCATTTCTCCCACACTGCCAGTTTGTTGGTATATGATTGTTCATAATATTCTCTTATAATCGTATTTCTTCAATGTTGGTAGTGATCTCTTTGCTTTCATTCATGATTTTTATTTATTTGGGTTCTTTCTCTTTTCTTTTTGAGAAGTTTGACTAAGAGTTTATCTATCTTGTTAATTCTTTCAAAGAAACAGCAGGAAAAAAAAAAACAGATCAACCAAACCAGGAGCTGTTTGTTGAAGAAATACGATTATAAGAGAATATTATGAACAATCATATGCCAACAAACTGGCAGTGTGGGAGAAATGGATGCATTGCTAGAAACACGTAAACTACCCAAACTGAAACAGGAAGAAAAAGAGAAAACCTGAACAGACCCATAACCAGCAAGGATATTGAATCAGTCATCAAAAATCTCTTTTTACCCCCAACCCTAATGCCTAAGAAGTCACATCCCCCTGGACTGTGCCAAATATCATTGAGGAAGACCTGCCCGGAACAACTCCGAAGTCCCTCCACAGGACAGTGAGGAGGGACTTACTCCAGTGACAGGGGGGCTCCCAGCTCTGTGGGCTCTGCTGGAAGCTGGTGGCTGGGCACACATCTCCCTAGTCATCAGCCTCCATGGAGCATAAGAGAAATCCGAGGCATTGTAGCCTGGGAGGCTATAAGCGGGGCACCCGGGAAGCCTGAGTCCTGTCACCCCCACCTCCCTGGGGCTACTCCAACCGACCTCCAGACCCCATCCCCTTCCCAGGAGATTGCAAATGCAAAGGTCTTCCCTACTCTACATTCTGGGGCGGTTTTGAGGATGAGGGAAGTGCAGTGGAAGGGCTCTGGAAGCCAAATACGCTTCAGTCACACCCACAGTCACACCACGGATAGTACTGACCCCGTAAAGTTCATTCCCAACCCAACAGACAAGTGAGAAATGGCACCAGGACAACGTCCCTGATCTTTCCAAGCATGGCTGTCCACCCCCTCCCTTCTTTGAGGGGCACAAGGTGCCTAGCGCACAGCCCGGCTCCCCAGGATGACACCTGTCAGACCCAGCTGTCCCAAAGCACACACAAGCTGAGACGCGGTGTCCAGGTGGTTGAGGAAAGAAGCAAAAGCCTTGGAGGGAAAGCCAAGGACTTTCTAAGCAGTGTTGCTCTGAGCCCCCCGAGGCGACAGGGCATCTCCCTGGCACCCAGCACAAAGAGAGTCCGCTCCAGGGAAAAGCACCACAGCAGAGGACCACACAGACACAAACCCAGCGGGTTTCTAATAACCGCCCAGAAGGAGCTCCTGGCCATCACCTGCCCCTCTCCCTGCTTAAGGGGCGTGCAGAGGGTCTTATCTTGGGTTTGATCAAGACTGTCCCCACCTCCCCTTTTCCAGAGGCTGGGGTCTCCTTGAGCCCCTTCATGTAAGCAGTAACATGACAGCAGAGGACCACACAGCAGGAGCTGAGATCCAGGCAGCTCGTGGAACCGCCCAGGGCAGCTCTCCGCCGGCAGCGCCTCCATCTCCTCGAGGCGCCCGCGGGGCACAGGGCCAGGCCTTGTCACAGGACGCACTGAGAGCCACCCACGAACCCATGGCGCCTTTTTTCTTTTCCAAAAGGAAAATGCCTGAGAACCAGTTTGCGGGGCTCTCCCGCCCCGGGAACAGGGGGCTGCAGAGATTCCTTGAGGGTGCTGAGGCCGCGCCCTCCGCTCCCCGGGCCTGGCGTTGGTTGGGCAGAGCCTGCCTCCCGGGCTGGGCGGGCACTCACTTGTCCAGGATGAAGTACAGGTCGTACTCGCTGTGGCAGGGCTTCCCCGGCTCCTCGCCGCGGCCCTGGGGAGCCGAGTGGCTCGGGCCCCGCCGGTGGTGCGGCGCCTTCTCGTGCGTGTGCAGGTGGTGGCGGTGGCCCTTGTCCCTCTGCGCCGGGCCGTGCAGGTCGCCCGAGCCGCCCCGGACCGTGGGGTGCAGGCTCCTGGCTCTGAGCGGCGGGGGCGGCAGCACGAGCAGCAGCAGGAGCGCGGGGCCCGGCACCCCCAGGCCGCAGCTCCCCATCCCAGGCGCGCAGCGGCCGCCTCCGCGCAGCCCTCCCGCGGGGCCTCCGCCCCTCCAGCCCTTCCCAGGCACCCTTCGACTCCACCTGCTACCTGCCCTCGGGGCGCAAGAGGCAAGCGGCTGGCTCTGGGGCGATGGCCCCACTACCTGCGCGGCCCTCTCCCCGCGCCCCGGGGCAGAAGGCCTTGTGTGATGAGCAGGAGGGTTGGCATGGTGACTTTGTGACCTGCAGCTCTGCTCAGTGTCCTGCCTGCTGACAGCCCCAGGCGGGAGTCCTGGCATGTCTGGACGGGCGGCAAGGCGAGGCCGCCTTTTGTCCCTTATCCCAACCCCCCCAGGTGGCCATTAATCCTCGAGACCCTGCCTGTTTATAACTCGAAGCAGGCCGCTGAGGTGGCTTAGATGAGGACGTCCCTGTGGATGAGGAGGTCAAGAACTATGTAGCTCCAGAATGGTAATGGTCATCCGTGGGAACACTGAAGTCATTCATGGGCATGGAAGGATCTAGAAGGTCTAGAAGGTTCGTGTAAGCATTCCAAAGTCCTTTGTGAATGGGGGACATTCCGGTTACCTCCTGCTGTGTAACAAGCCACCCAGACAGGTGACATACAAGAGAATCGTTTCCTCTCTGCACAGGTTCTGTGGATTAGACTCGCAGAGAAGGCTGATGGGGAGGGCTTGTCCCTGCTTCGCGGAAAACACAGAAAACCCACTTGCTCTTTCATATAAATTTTGGAAGTAGCACATCCTCTTCGCTTCCCCCAAAGGACTACAACTTCTTCTCTCTTCTCCTTCCCCTCCCCCTCCTCCTTCTACTGCTTCTTCTTATCCTCCTCCTCCTCCTTTTCCTCCTCTTCCTCTTTGTTCTCCTTCTCCTCCTACTCCTCCTTCTCCTCTTCCTCCTCCTTCTTCTTCTCCCCTCCTTCTCCACCCTTCTCTTCTTTTTCTTTATCTTCTTCTCCAACTCCTCCAACTCCTCCTCCTTCTTCTCCACCATCTCCTCCTCCCCCTCCTCCTCCTCCTTCTTCTTCATCTCCTTTTCTTCTTCTTTCCCTCAACTCCTCCTCCTTCTTCTTGATGACCTCTTACGTTTTATGTAGATCATAGGCTTATGATTTTCCTAAATTGATTCTAGTGATCACACCCTCAGCCCTTGATAACAGTAAGAGCTGAAATTGCTATGGGCTATAATTTCAACATGTCCATTGTTCCTCATTTGTCCAATTTTGAATCCATATTGGCATTTGTCATTTGTTTTAGTTGTCTGATTTTATGAAAAGTCCCTCAAACTATATGATCACAGTAACATTAAATATATAGATACCCTTGGTTGGATTTGAATCTGCCATCTGGACTACCAAAATCAACGAACCTGGCAATGTCTCTATTTACACCTTTTCCAGTGCCTTCCATATGAATTTCCCTATGAAGATCTTAACTTTTTTGTCAAGTGCCTTCCCTAAATATCTTGTTTCTTCTGTTATTGGAAATGGCATTTAAAAATTAATGCTTTCAAACTTTATTGGTGTTGTGGATAGTTCTATTAATTTATTGATTATTCATACAACTTGCTAAGCTCCCTCATTCTGAAATATATATCTTTTGGTTTTTATAGAAACCAAAACCAGAAACCAAAAACATTGCTCTGACTAGTTCTCCAATGACATGTTGACTGGAACCTGTGATGGAGGCATTCTTGACTTTAAAAAGAATACTTCTAATGTATCACTATTAAGAATAATATTGATGGAAGGCTTTTGGTAGAAATTCTGTATCAGATTAGAGTATTTCCTAGGTTGGTTACAAATTTTGAATAAGTGATGAATTTTTAATATATTTTTTGCATATTTTGTGATGAATATATATTTTTCACCAGTAATCTATTAGTATGATGTATTGCATTAGTGCATGTGAAACTAATTTTAACATTTAACAGACAAAACCTATCCTGGCCTTGGTAATTTTTAAAAGTACTGCTGGTTTGAGTTTACTATTAGTTTAGATTTTTTTTTTTACCTACAACCATGAAAAATTGGCTTATAATTTCCTATTTTTGTCCTGTTCTGATCTGATTTTGATATTATGTAATACTAGCTTTATAAAATGCACTTGGGAGTGTTTTTACTTTATTTTCTCTTGGAAAGACTTTGAATATTATCACAATAATCTACCCCTTGAATATTTGGTGTGATATCATCTATGCTTGTTTTTTTTTTGTGATGTTGATAAACTACTGATATAATTTATTTAATATATAGTGAATTTTGTGGACCGAATTCTGCCCCTTGCCCTCATTTATATTTTGAAGTCCTAATGCTAATGTGACTGTAACTGGAGATATGGTCTTTAAGAAGGTGACTGAGATTAATTGATATCATTACATGTGGACTCTAATCCCATAGAACAGGTGTCCTCATAAGAAATCTTAGAGCTCTTTTTTTCACAGACACACAGAGAATGGTACCATGTGAGGACATACCAAGAAAGTGGCCACCTATAATCCTGGAAGAGAATCCACATCAGAAGCCAGCCCTGATTGCACTTTGATCTTAGTCTTCCAGCCTGTAGACTGAGAAAATAAATTTCTGTTGTTAAAGCTACTCAGCCTGTGGTACTTACAGTGACCAAAGCAGACCAGCATTATGTGCTATTTTAGTGTTTCTATTTCTTTATTATTATTTATTTATTTTTAAAAGATTTTATTTATTCATTCATGAGAGACAGAGAGAGAGAGGCAGAGACAGAGGCAGAGGGAGAAGCAGGCTCCCTGCAGGGATCATGACCAGGATCATGACCGGAGCCAAAAGCATATGCTTCACCACTGAGCCACCCAGGTACCCCTCTATTTCTTTCATAAATAATTTTAGGTGTCATGTATAGTGGTATAAAGTTGTTCAGAATATACTTGATTTTTATATTTCTGCTCTGTCTGTACTAATCTTTATAATTTCTACTGTAACTTAGTCTTTTCTTACTGTATGCATTCACAACAGGGACGATTTTCACCCTCAGGAGGGTGAAAATTAGTCTTAACTTTTTAAAAGTATGAAGCACAACACAGAAAGAGATATAGAATATATATCCATTATCGTTGTTGTTGTTACTATTATTTCGCCTTTTATTTAATCCAATTTATGTTAAAAAAAAACAGGCATTTTGTAGAATTTCCCACATTTCAGATTTGGTCAATTGTTTCCTAATCATCTCATTACCTTTTATACTATCATCAAGTTTCCCGTAAGCCAGTAGTTAGAAGCTAGAAGCTTGGTGAATTTTTGGTTCATTTTGATATTGTTGATATTTTTCTTCCTGCATTACATGTGGAGACACATGTTGATAGTTGCACTTTTACTGATGCTAAGATCCCATTGGTCAATGGGATCAGGTTTGTGAGTCTGTTACACTGTTAAATCCTCTAGCATTTCAACTCATGATTAAATCCTCTGATATTTTATCTGATGGTTAAAACTACTATAGATATCTGAATCTATAATTTCAATGAGTTGCAAAATAGTTATTTCAAATTTTATTTTTTCTTCTGCATTTATTAACCAAGATTCTTTTTCCCAGTTTTATTTAGATGTAATCGACATACATTTTATAAGTTTAATACCTACAGCATAATAATTTGATACAGTGTTGAAATGGTTACCACAATAAATGTAGTTGACATTCATCATCTAATGTAGATACAAAAAAGAAAAAGAAACAAAGTTTTTCCTGTGGTGAGAGTTCTTAGAATCTACTGTCCTAAACACTTTCAAATATACAGTAAAGCAGTGTTGTGCTTACACTTCTATTACTTATTTTATAAACAAGTGCCTCCTCCCATTCCTACCTCTGGTAACCACAAACATGATCTCTTCTTCTATGTTTTTAATTTTTTTTTTTAGATTTCACATATAAGTGAGACCATACAGTATTTGTATTTCTCTGATTTATTTCACTTACTGTAATGCTCTCAGGTTTCGTTCATGTTGTTGCAAATGGCAGGATTTCCTTTTTCTGGATGAATAATATTCCATTTTATACATATGCCACAACTAGTTCGTTCATTCAGCACTTGGTGGCCACTAGGTTGCTTGCATGTCATGGTTACTGTAAATAATGGAGTAATACACATGGGGGTGCAGATATCTCTTCCACATATATATTCCCAGAACTGGGATTGCTGGATCATATAGTAGTTCTATTTTAAAATTTGGGGGAAACTTATATTGGCTCTACAAATTTACAATCCCACCAATAGTGCATAAGTGTTCACCTTTTTCCACATCTTTACCAGCACTTGTTACCTTTTATTTATTTTTTTTTTAAATTTTTATTTATTTATTTATTTATGATAGTCACAGAGAGAGAGAGAGGCAGAGACACAGGCAGAGGGAGAAGCAGGCTCCATGCACCGGGAGCCCGACGTGGGATTCGATCCCGGGTCTCCAGGATCGCGCCCTGGGCCAAAGGCAGGCGCCAAACCGCTGCACCACCCAGGGATCCCTACCTTTTATTTTTTTGATGATAACTATTCTAACAGGCATGAGTGAAACATTATTGTGATTGTGATTGAATTTCCCTTTTGATTAGTGATGTTCATCACCTATCATGTACCTGTTGGCAATTTATATATTTTATATGGAAAAATGTTTAGATCCTTTGTTCATTTTTTGAATTAGAGTATTTGTTTCTTTGCTATTGAGTTATGTGTTCTTTATATATTTGGGGGCATTTTAACAATATTAATTCTTCCAATCTATGAACTTGGGATACATTTCCATTTATTTGTGTCTTCTTAAATTTCTTTCATTAATATCTTTAAATTTTCAGTATAGAGATCTTTTGCCTGTATATTAAATTTATTCCGAGGTATCTTGTTTTGATATTACTGCAAATGGGATTACTTTATTTACTTCTTTTTGGATAATGTGTGGTTAAATGCTTCTTTCAGACATACGGACATTTGCAAAAATTTTTTCCCATTCTGTAGGTTTTTTTCATTTTGTTGA